CCAGACCAGCGTTGTGGGACCTGCAGAAGTGCCTGCTGTCTATCATGAAAGCCGCATTCTCTTCCAGCCTCCTGGAACACTGGCTTTCCCAGCAGGGTGAGAGGCTGGGCCAAACCATCTCTGACTTCTTCCCAGCTTTGCTGGAACAAGCACTTCTGCATGGGCAGTAGAGGTGTGAGGTAAGAGTTTCGTTAAGGTACAGGCATTGTCCTCTGGGTGAAGTTCACTGACTGCTGCTGTGGTCAACTTAGCTCAACCAGCCCAGAATGACAGCCCATTAAATGGTCCTCTCAGACAGGGTAATGGAATTCAATGAGATAGTGCATGTGATGTGCTTAGCACAGCACCTGGCATGTGGCTAACAATCAGTAAATAGAAGCAATTATGAACATCACGCCAGCCATGCTGTGTGCAACCAGACACCCATCAAGGGTATATTCAGCACCAGGTAAAACTGACCATTGCTACCAATGTGATAGAAAATTGCCACCTGTCTGTCCAGCTTTTCCTGACTTCTTCAGTGTGTCATTAATTACCTACATCCTCTAAAAGCTAGGGAACTCATTTGCATCTCATATATTAACTATCCCTAATTATTCTCCCCTTCCTCACTATTGAGTTTGGTGCTTTGGAAGATCTTTTAAAGGTTTGATCTCTCGATTTTACCTCTCATGAGGACTCTTTTCCATCCCTGCATATGGCCCCCGGCTGTTCCTCCATTTGCTGACCTGGAAGGCTATCATTATCAGAGGCCCTTTGCTGGTTATCTCACTAATTTCCATTACTTGCTGGAAGTGAACCTTGCCAAAGACCTGCATGTTGTCATTTCTGTAAGCAGTCATATAGCCAGTATATGTTTTCTGAGATGAGGCTGTTCATCATGGTCCTAACTACCAGCAAGAAGTATTTTATGGGGGCCTGCACTGTGTGCTGGAGATCCAGTCTTACCCTCCCCTTGACAATCCTGATCTGTCCCCTGCACAGTTTGTGCTGGGGTTTGGGGGTCTTCTGTCTCACCTGTCCGCAGGAGTACAGTGAGGCAGCGAGGAGAAGTGGGCGAAACCTCCCCTCATCATTTTCCCCGGTGGATGTAATGGCTCTGCCCTGGATTCACAAAGGCTGCTGGACCCCGCAGGTAGGGCTTATTATGTGATAAACTACCTCAGCCAGGGGCCAACGGGCCTTTGGAGAAAAAAGAGGCAAAAAGGAACCAGCACATGCTCCCTTTTGAAATGTAAGTGGGTAAATGCTGGTGTGTGGACAGCACAGTGGCAGGTACAGCCAGGAGTATGGCTGAGCCCAGCTGAGATGGCATGACTGGACTATGGGCAAGTCCAGACAGGCTGCCCAGAGCAGGTGCTGCATGAGAGTGCCTTGAACCTCGACAGGCAGGTTATCCTGCTCTTGGTATCTTTGTGCTCATGCTGGAGGATGGGAATTTGTTCTTTGCTAGAAGGTGCTTCCTGCTGGATTGGTGGCCCCCAGGTAATGTCTAGAACCAAAAAGTGGTTTGAGGCCAAAGCAAGGGCAGAGGCTCTGGGTTCATTCTCAAACTGATATAAAGTTGTAGAAAAATGTGCATTTCACAAGAAAATGCAAAATATAAAATTATTTGTAAGTGGCTTATATATTTCTTATAATTAAAAAAAGAGAGAATGAACTTATTGAAACTTTATATAAGAACTCTAATCAATAGCCCCCAAGGAAGTCTTGCTTAGCCAGTCATTTAATGCTATAATTTACCATTTATATGAGTTAGATGAATTCTTCCTTAGCACATGTGACAACAAGGGAATGTCCAGGATCACAAAATAGTGATAAGTAGACAAGTTCAACAATTTTTTTTGTGCCATTTGCCTGATCTCCGATGCTAATAAGATCTTGGTCAATACTTCTCTTCAGAGTTCACGGAAAAAAAAAAACTTGGCCAAAGTCATGTATTGCTGGCTCTTCCAAAATTATCAACAGAGTGTTCTTGAAGTTTTGGTTGCATATGATTTCTTGTCAGCAGTACAGGAAGGTCATAAAATCTTTTATTCATTTTCTCCAGTCTCAGGAATATCTTGGCCCCAACAAGAGCAGGTCGAGCTTTTGACAACTACAGGGCACACCGGCATCTTAATGATGGCCAGTTGAGTTAAAGTTGAGGGCATACCTTATAAATAGAATTATTAATAGCTTGATTCAAATTGTGTTTTCATTTGGCAAACTTCAGCATAACATGCCTGGAAGGTATGCACAGATGATGCTTCTAGTTCCTAGAGAAGATATGGCTTCATAACCTAGCAGACGACGGATGTCCCAAGTCTTTTAGAAATCAGTTACCAAACACGTGCTTGAAACAGTGTCTACAAATACACATGCTAACTGTGTAAAATTAGCCCAGTTTCTGAGTCTATCTGAACCCAGTTTGTAAAACGGAGGCAATAATGCCTTGTGGCCAAAAAGCCATCCATGACTGTCCAGCTGTATGGCCTCCGAGTCAAGCCAAATACCTGGCAAGTCAGGAGCCCAGTGAGCACAAAGATCGTCAGAGCTGCACTCACTCTCCATGTAGCCAAGGCTTTCTTCACTGCAGGTGAAATTCTGGAACCTCAAAAGTGTAACAGCCAAAGATGTACTGATACATCATCAAAGTGGGAACCAAAACAAGAACGTTCCTGAGACTAGTGGAACAACGATGGCCTGAGATTCATAAAATAGCTACCAAGGAGGCTGAAGGGCAGAGCCCGTGAGACCAATTTGGAATGCCACATCAGCAGCACCATCCACACAATGCAGGTCATTCAAACCAGCAAAAGACGGATCCCAAAGATCAAGAGCCCTGGCTGGCTGGGCTTCTTTCCTTCTTTCCTTCATTCTCTTCTTTTGTACTGCACTTTCCTGATTTTCTTCCTTGGTCTTTCTTTGTTCCTGAATCCACTTCCCCTTGCTGTCCTCTGAGTGTCTGAGTGGTCCTTGGTCCACTTCTCTATCCACATTCACTCCCAAGGTGACCTCACGTCCAGTCCCATGGCTGTACAAATAAATGTACAACACCCAGTGACACCCAAGTGTATGTCCCTAGCACTCCCCTCTCTCTCTACTCCAAACTGGTATATTCAATTTAATTTCACTTAAAGGACAAATTTAAAATATTAAGTAATAAATAAAGTACCAAAACAACCACAAACTCTTATCTGATGAATCAGACAAAGTATCTCATGTATCATGCATTTGTCTGAATTATGTAGCTTCATATTTTATAATCCAAGCACTGGGGGAAAGGCCTGCATGATTTTTTAAAGTGTGTCATACATAGTTGTCAGTCAATTCTGCTTAATGCTGTATTTTATGATCTACGTACTACCCTGATTTTGAATAGGTTGTGTTTCAAAACCCTCTGGGTAAATTAATATTCTGAGTCTTAGGTCACTGTTTTTCAGAGAAGTATGGCTAGGCCATAAGCTGTCAAGTTTTTCTTCCTTTTCCTGGTTACTGATGTTAGCTCACTTCAAGATCTCAAGTGCTACGTGAGTTCATTCCAACACCACGAATTCCTGGACTCCTGTCTGTACCCACCTCAGTCATACCTGTAAACCTGCACGCTGACCTGTCTAAAACGGCTCCCATCATGACTGCTCAGAAATTGTAGTGGTCCCTTCTGCCCATGGAACTTAACAGAATTATGGACCATCAGAGGGGCAGGGACCCACAGGAAACCTACTGTGAGAATATCAACTATACTTAACATCTGAAATATTATCTTGTTTAGTATAATTTCAGTGACCACTTATTTTCCCTTCTTTTTTAGGCCCACACAGCTGAAAATAATAAGCCTCTTCTCTCTGAAAAGAGAACCAAGTCCTGTTTTTTTGCAATGTAAACAGTGGTTACCTTATATTTTAAAAAAATCTCAGAATGGCTCCTGGTCCTCTAGAAAATAATCTATGTACATTTCATAATTTAGAATTAATTCACAGTTTCTGCTTTAAACACTCATTTGTCGGACAAAATGTGTACTTGCAGTACTGAAAGAGTTGTAAACAAATGAATACATAGACTTAAAACCATTTTAGCAATTGTTAAATTGTTTAAATTTAACAATTTTAAATATCTGTCCACAGTAGACCACAGTAGACCACTGTGGACAGATACTTGAATCCCAAACCTAAATATCAAAAGACAGGAACTGGGAAGCAGAGATTACTTTAGGTGTAAAATCTCACTTTCAAATGTCCTTAGCAGCCTAGTGATCTATGTCCTCTGGGGCATGCAAAAACATACTGTCCACACCACAAATGAGACAAATTCATCAGACCCTTCACTAAGATTCTAAAAGCTCTGGAAGAAAGAAGGTTCTTATTTTATCTGAAATTGAATTATAAGGTGGATACAAAACCAAGGATCCACCAGGAGCCAAACGTAGAATGGAAATGGATCAATTTTTGATTTTAAGTTTCGATCTTGGAAGAAACTTACCTGAACATTATTAAAAATTATCTGCATGATACAAATGATCCCAAAGTGTCATTTTTCTGACGTGTCCAATTCCATTTTACATCATGTCAGTTATGCATAAAATTCATTACTGTTATGTGTTTGAAAATATAACTTTTGAGTGCAGCTTATTCTTGTTTTTAGAACTTGACACCTACTTTTCAAATCCTCTCTTTGACCCGAGAACTCAAAAGAAATTGGAAACTTGAAATCTTTTTTTTTTTGAGACGGAGTCTCGCTCTGTCACCCAGGCTGGAGTGTAGTGGCGGGATCTCAGCTCACTGCAAGCTCCGCCTCCCGGGTTCACACTATTCTCCTGCCTCAGCTTCCAGAGCAGCTGGGACTACAGGCGCCCGCCACTACACCCGGCTAATTTTTTGTATTTTTAGTAGAGATGGGGTTTCACTGTGCTAGCCAGGATGGTCTCGATCTCCTGATCTTGTGATCCGCCCGCCTCGGCCTCCCAAAGTACTGGGATTATAGGCGTGAGCTAGGAAACCTGAAATCTTCACACTCCTTACCTGATGTTGGCTCAATAGCAAAGGCTTGATGAGACTGAATCAAAGTGATATAGAACTCAAAATCTACAGGGCAGCTGCACTGCAAAGGAATAACATAACTTTTGCTGCAAAACAAAAAAGAAAATAAAGATATTATTTTTCTGTATAACTGGTTCTTTTGGTAGCAAGGAATGGAGACTCAAGTTATGTAATAAACGATGATGACTGCCAATGCTGATCTGGCACTTCCTGTGTGCCAGGAGTAATCCCATGCATTTTCCCTGTAGTAACTATTTTAATCCTATGAGATGCTGCCGTGATTATCCCCACTTACGGAAGAGGAAACTGAGGCACAAGAGAGGGTAAGTGTGCCACACGAGGTGATGTAGTTAGTTAGTGGCAGAACCAGGATTTAACGCAGTCGATTGTGCTGGGTGTCCATACTCCTCACACCACTGTCCTCGCTACCCCTCGAGTACTGTTAGGTTTATCTTCCAGAGGTGCAGTGATAGGAAAAGGCAGTCTCTACCACACAGTTCGGCCTCACCGAACCAAGGAAAGGCCAAACAGATGGGCTTAGAGAAAGCCTGGGAGACCCCTGGCCTTTCACAGAGCCTGGATGGGACAGCATGGAAGAAATCACAACTTGGGCTGTGCTTGATTGAAGTAGGCTAGGTACTCTTTATTTGGTCAGAAGTCCAGCGACCATTAGAGAACGTGGAAGAGGTCTACGTACTCAGAAATGGTCTGTCACCCCAAGACAAGGCGGACTTCTAAGCTAGCTTGAAGCTGTTGCTTACAGCACCCCAGGAGCTGTGGCAGCAGTAGCATTTCTTGGAGTGCCCCATGCTTCCCATAAAGTTCTGTCCTTCCATCAGGGCAATCCAAGTCAGCCAGAGTTGACTGCCTGGGGGAGCAGAGTCTCCAGGGTAATTCTACGTCCTATGCAGCGCTGGGGGCAGGTTATCGGGTCCCCTTGCAGCAGTAGGAAGTCAAGTGCCTCCTTTCTTTTTTTTTTTCTCCCTGCATTCCTGATCTGTTTGCACCCCCGCCCTTCTCCTTCAGCCACCAGTTAGCTTCATCTTTGACTCTGTACATCTCTTCTCTACCCCACGCCTTCTGAGCCCTCACCCCATCACAGCCCTCCTGGCTCGAGGCTCACCCTGCCTCTTATCCTTTTAGCTTCTGGCCTCCCTGCCAACTGCCCATCCCCTCTCATCTTCCAGTTCATACTCCCAGGAGAACACAGTTGTGATCTGGTTTGAGCAGAGCTGCCAGGCCAGCTGGGCTCTACTTTCTGGGCAGGACCCATCCGAACCCATCTGTCTGTGGACGTCTCCAATAATGACAGGCTTCCCTACCTGCCCAGAGTCTGCCTTCCCTGGAGATTCAGAGTCCTATGAAGGCAGAGACCAAGTCCATCTGGGTCTCCAGTGTATCCCAGAGTGTCGCGTGGACCAAAGGCTCAACAAATATTTGTTGGTGTGAAGCAAAATAACCCTTTTATCAGCAGCAATTTTGGGGATGTGATATAACTCACATGTGGCTTTTAAAATTATGCCCAAAACATTTTTATTTGGCTTTAAAATTCACTATCTTTAAAAAATCTGTGAAATATTTCAAATATAAAGAAAAATGTAAAGAACAATAAAATAACAACCCCTTTATCTACTACTGAGCTCTAACAAATCTTTCGCTTTGGGCATATCAGCATTATGTTTTTAAAGAAATAAAACATTACAAAAGAGTTGAGGCTCCCTGTAGCTCCTTCCCCAATTCTCTCTCTTCCTCCCTGCTTTAAGATAGTCAGTTTTATCAATCTTTATTTTGGAGAAAATTAAAATCTGTTCCAAACTATGAACACGGCATGTCTCTAATTTATTCAGGTTTAATTTTATGTCCTCAATCAAATTTTATAAGTGACCCCTACCCTGTATTCACTGTTCTACCATTCTCATGCATTCTAGTAATTACTACTTACATATGTATGCATACAATATGTGGTATGCATAAAATATATAGTATATTGTTTGTTTTTAACAATATTGCTCTGAAACTTGTTATTTTTGCTCAACACTACGTTTCTGAGACTTATCCATGGAAATATGTAAAGATCTGTTCATTCATTTTAACTAGTGAAGAGTATTCCATTATATAATCATACCACACTTTATTCAGTCACTCTCCTGTTGGTGGGCATTTAGGTTGTTTGCATTTTTTCACTATTGCAGTGTGGCAGTGAAGATCCTACTGCATGACTCCACGTGCACCTGCAGTACAGCTACTTTAGGAATAACCCCAAATGGGATTTCTGGTTAGTAGCAAAGTAAAAATATTAAATTCACTAGATACGACTAAAATATTTTTCAAAGCACTTTACCAATTTACACTTTTACTAGCAGAATAGGAGAGTTTCTGTTGCTTACCAACATTTAGGATTCTCAGGCATTTTAATGTCTGTCAACCTGTTGGAGGTGAAATGGCATCTCATTTCACTTTCATTCTCATTCTTTTGAGGTTAAGTTTCTGTTCCTGTTTATTCATTTGGGTTCCCTCTCCTGTGAATTGCCTGTGCATATCCTTTGCCCATTTCTCTATTCAGTTGTTTTGTTCTCTTATTCATTTGTAAATTCTTTTTTTTTTTTGAGACAGAGTCTCACTTTGTCACCCAGTCTGGAGTGCAGTGGCATAATCATAGCTCACTGCAGCCTTGATGTTCTGGGCTCAAGTGATCCTCCCACCTCAGTCTCCTGAGTAGCTGGGACCACAGGTGTGCACCACCATGCCTAACTAGTTTTTAAATTTTTTGTAGAAATGAGTTTCCACTATGTTCCCAGGCTTGTCTCAAACTCCTGGACTCAAGTGATCCTCTTGCCTTGGCCTCCCAAAATGCTAGGATTACATGCATGAGCCACCATGCCTGGCCTCATTTGTAAATTCTAATATTAATTTAGTTAATTATATGCATTACAAGTATCTTTTCCAAACCATAGTTTATTTTTTGATTTATTTGTGGTGTTTTTTGTTGGACATAAAGTTTTAATTTTAAGGTAGTCAGTTTTATCAATCATTGTTTTGGAGAAAATTGAAATCTGTTCTAAACTATAAACATGGTATGTCTCTAATTTATTAAGGTTTAATTTTATGTCCTCAATCAAATTTTATAAGTGTCTCCATAGTGAGCTTACACATTTTGGTTAAGTTTTTCCCTAGGTGTTTTGGTATGTTTGGGTTGCTATCACAGAATACCATAGACTGGGTGGCTTATGAACAACAGAAATTTATTCCTTACGGTTCTGGAGGCTGGGAAGTCTAAGATCAAGGTGCTAGCAGATTTGGTGTCTGGTGCAGGCCCACTTCCTGGTTCATAGATGACCATCTTTTCACTGTGTGTTTGCATAATGGAAGGGGCTATGGAGCTCTCCAGATCTCTTTTATAAGGACACTAATCCTGTTCATGAGGGCTTTGCCCTCATGGCTTCATCACCTCCCAAAGGCCCCACTTCCTAATATATCACCTTGGGGGTTAGATTTAAACACATGCATTTTGAGGGGGAAACAAATATTCAGACCATAGCACCAGGTATCTTATAGCTTCTGTGACATAGTGAATGGAATGTTTGTCTTTTATAATTCATTATTGCTAGTGTATTGCAATGCTACTTTTGGATTTTGATCTAAAACCCTGCTAAAGTCTTTCATGGGTTGTAAAAGTTTATCTGTAGATTTCTTCAGATTTTCTATGTAAAAAATTATACAGTCTAGGCCAGGCACAGTGGCTTGCACCTATAATCCCAGTGTAAGTCATAAAATCTAAAAAAAAAAAAGAGAGACTCTTTCCTATTTACTTTTCCAACTCTTATAACTCATATATTTTTTTCTGATCATTGCATTGATGACTTCCAGTATAATACTGAATTGAAGTGAAGAGCATCTTTTTCTTATTTTGACTTTATTGGAAATATTTTAATTTTTACCACTAAGAATGATGTTTCTAGAAAGTTTGTGACAGCCTCTATCAGGTCAAGGAAATTTTCTTCTATCTATTTCTAAGCTTTTTTTCCCACTTAATCATGAAGGAGTTTTCTTTTTGTTAAAATTTGCTTGGTATACATACTTCTTCCATTCCTTCATTTTCAAACTTCCTGAAAAGTTTTATTTTAGGTGTGTCTCCAGAAAGTAGGATATAGCTGGATTTAAAAATGTTTAGCAGGTGGGATAATCTTTTCATTTTAATAGGTGAATTTAATCAGTTTTCATTTGTTACAATTAATAATAGATATATTTGAACTTATTTCTACCACCTTGTTTTGTGTTTTCTAAAAAACATCTTTGCTTCATTTTTGTTCTTTTGCCTCTTGCTGGACTGACTGCTTTTATATTTCTACTTTTTTTCCTCCTATGACTTGGCAGCTATAGATTGCATTTCTATGATTTTAATTATTACTCTAAATTTTTAAAAGATATGTCTTATTGACAGCTGGGTGCTGTGGCTCATGCCTGCAATCCAAGCACTTTGGGAGGCTGAGGCGGGCATACCTCTTGAACTCAGGACTTCAAGACCAGCCTGGGCAATGTAGCAAAACCCCATCTCTACAAAATATACAAAAATTAACTGGGTGCAGTTGTGTGTGCCTGTAGTCCCAGCTGCTTGGGAGGCTGAGATGGGCAAATGGCTGGAGCCTGGAAAGCAGAGGTTCCAGTGAGCCGAGATCGCATCACTGCACTCCAGCCTGGTTGACAGAGCACAGGCCCTGTCCAAAAAAAAAAGGTATGTCTTACTTATTGAAAATTCCCAACAAAGTCTACACATACCTAGTATTTCTATCCTCCCAAACACAGTGCGGTCAGCCCTACCTGCCTATTGAAGGCTCTTTCTTACCCCTCCATCTTGTATATGCTATGTTGAGTTGTAGCTTTAGCTTAAACAACAAAAAATACTGACTTTTAAAAATGGTTACTTAATTAAATTTACCAACCTATGTAATTAATTTTGGTGTTTGCCATTCTCTTTCGATTCCCATGGCTACTTTCTGAATATGTTTTTCTTCTTGCTGGCATATGCCTTTTAAATTTTCTTTTAGTGAGGACTGTGTGTGGGAAATTCTTATGTAAATACACTTAT